AATTTCCGCTTACATTCTACGATGTAGTTCACTTTCGTATTCCTATTGGAATGAATTAGCAGTAATTCTTTCAATACTATCATCCATGTCGAATCGTTAACGAAGAATATATATACTTCCTCTTCTCTCCCCCCCCCCCTCTCTCTCTCTGTCTCTTCCACATATACTGATAAAAACTTTTTCCAATACTATGTTCGTCCTATATATAGATACCACATATAGAGAAACCTCAATAATTTGATTCATTTTTACACCGGTCTATCCTGGAACTTTAACAGTTCGGTTTCGCGAATATACGGTCCCAAAGTCTCCGCGGAATTCGCAGCAAAAAGCTCGACGAATTTTTGTAATTTCGTTTGATTGAAGAATACTTTTGCTGACCAGAATTCATTTCCCGTTGGCGCTAATATTTATTTCAATTTGCAATTTCTGTAGGTCAACGTTGATTTATTTTTCATTAAAATCGCGGAAAATGGATGTATCTATTTATTAAATATTTTACTAAAATGCGATTGAGTTCTATCACGAGTACACGAGTGAAATTGAAGTATTGCATGTATTATATATCTAATATTATTTTTTGATATACGAGCAAATAGATAAATGTTATTAAAATTCGATAAAGTCGGCATATAAAGATTTCTTGTAAATTTACACGGTACGGTAAAGATGTAGCCAGTTTGCGTTAACATCGCAAACGCGATGTGACACGACATAATTTTTAATTTTAAATACGTTTTTTTTCGAGGCGGATCTGTGAAATTGAATAACAATATCCAGCGGTTTCTCTGTTATGCAAATATAGTACGCGGTATCGAACAAAGTACGTATATGTACGTAAGTATGTGTCCGCAAAGTTATTCGCGCGAGCCGTCACAAAGTAATACCTTGATAAACTTTCCGCCAACGTCAGCGAGAGTTGCTAAATAAATTTAAAACCCAGCTTTAATCATCTTTTGTGCGTGTGCGCGTACGGAAGTTAATTATCGAACTTTGGAACATACAATACTCTCTTGTACTAAAATAAAACAATAGCTAAATACTATTATTTCAGAAGTTCTAACACCAATCTAAGAACAATTACTGAAGATAATGGAAAATATGTCAACTCACTATTTCGTGTATTTTGAATGATCGTCTCCTCTATCGCGCGATGATCACGCCTCGTTGACCTTTATTGTTCTCTTTTTCCGCTGAATATTTATTTTTAACGGCGTATTCGGAGAGGCTTTATTCGGTCGGTCTAAAAATACAACGCGGCGTCGCTGACGATGGCTAAGGTCGAGCCCGCGGATTTGGACAGATCGATGAAAATTCAGAAACGAGGCGTTGCCCTCGGGCTCCAGACAGATCGACTACTGCTGTTCGCGTATGTACGTATGTACGTATGTAGATATGGTGTTACGCGGCTCAAAATTACAGGCCGTATCGTTGGCCGGCGCCGATGAGTCAATCAACTGAGTCTCCGGAAATTCGTCGGAAATACGATTACCCTTCTATTCCTCTGTGAACCATTCCGTTGCTCATTTTCGTTTGACAGCTTTACGGCCAAATCGCACTGCGATTTTACAATACTCATTAATGCATCTCCCGATATTCTTCTTGCGCTCATGATAATATTATATATTTGAAATTGATTTTGTGAAAAATGCGATTTAATCGTCGATCAAAAGTTCTTTCTTGGAAACTCGACGCACTGTCGGAAGATCACTATGTTTGGATTTGTGATCATCCAGTGGATCATAAAATGGAATTCTTATACATGCAAATCTTTCCTTAAAACAAAATAAGATTTATATAAAAATTATATTTTGCCCATATAATATTTATTAGATCGTATTTGTACGTTTTCTACGTTTAGTTATTTTTGTAAAATAGAGATCTTTATGGAAAATGGGATCTTTATGGAAAACTTCAACATGATATAATATAGGAAAATATTACTATCAAAATTGCTTTTTCAACACGTGTCAGGTTCTAAAATTCTAGACGTAACAATTTTGCAAACGATTGTTATAAACGTCACTTACCATAGACTATAATCGCAAATATTATCTCTGGAGTGGCATTGAAACCTTCACACGTCACCCAGTTCTCTCCGAGTTTCTTTTCCTAAGATACTTTAACGAACTTAACAGGATAAAAGACCGTATTCTCTGGAATTTCAAGAGAATGATGTGCGCAAAATTTAATCACAAAGTTTTATTTTAAAAAAGATATTCCATTTCAATATTCTTATACTATAAATAATATTATCATTATTAATGAACAATTATTAATAATCTTTTCTCGATATAATTAATAATGAATTAATGATTAATGACTTGATTTGAATGACTTTATTCATCATTAATAATTCACGTCAGATATGTCTTGTGTCTATCAACATAACAATTTTGGTAGTGGAAGAGATGATTAATTGTTTTACTATGAAACAAGCATATGTGAAACATCGCGAAATAACAAAGAATTGGCAATTCATTCATGATTTCTCACTCGTGAAATATAGCAACAAGAAACAGAATCAAAATCATGTTAAGTATGTATTTCTCTTGACCGAAGATGGGGAGAGACTCAAAATCGTGCCAGATAAATAGATTCGTCTTGATCGGATGAAATTGCATTTGCGTCAAATGAATGCTTTTCACTACTCGATAGGACAAGAGGCTGACGATTGTGCGCCAAGTAGATCGCGCCGCTCACGAACAGACGTTGCCGCATATATTACGCAGTAGTAAGTATCCGCACTTCAGTCAGACATTCTTATTGTTAGCAATGGAAAGCGGAAAACGCGGCTCTCGCCGCGCGCTTCAAAGCACATGCTTTCGAATGGATTGAAATGCAGTACGTATCTATAGATTACAGCTATTAAGGAATATCTCGATCAATCGCGATCCGAACAGGTGTTTTCGAGCTGGTAGCTAGATTTCACGACTGGTCAACGCTGCCGATTTATTTGTGGAATAATACGAACGAAAAAAATTCCAGAATAATTGAAAATTTGAAATTTCATAATTTGTGACAAAAATCAAGATGGAATACCATCAAAAAAAATTTTTACTCAATTAAAATTGTAAAATTTTCTTATAATTTTATGTATCGAATATTCTAACGTATGTATGCGTATTCTGATGAGTATTTTATATACATACTATGCTATACTATGCTATGGTATGCTATACTATTTTATTCTTTAAATGTTTCTGTATACTATACATAAAATTATAAATAAAATTTTATCCTGAATTTTGTTGCAAATTATAAATCATATAAAAAGGGCTTAACATATTTTATCATTTTCGTAAGTTAACTGTTTTAAAATGGCTTTTGTAATTGTGTGCATACGGATGTAACTGAAAATTGAGATTTATTCAAAGTTGTAACGGCAAAATCAATATATATACTCGCTAAAATAAAATCTGCGATTTTAATCGCTGCTTTCCACATTATCAAAGCTGAAACAATACAATATAAAGATAAAATAATATAATGAAAATTGCTACGCCGATGTATGAGATTAATACGAATTTTAATTCCTGTTTCACGAGTAAAATATATATATCTCGCATTGTTTTTCGTCATATGAGCATATATCAGGTTCTGTGACTTGAAGATAAAACGCAAAAATTTTTAAATATAATTTTGCTTTGTAATAACAAATATTGATGTATTGATATGATTTTTGACTACTCGTTATGATTAAGACATTAATGACAAGCTTAGAGAAGAGATTTACAACATGTATAAGTCTTTATAATTGTGCAACATGTGTAACTAATTGTACATCGTTTTGTGACTTTTATTTCTGGGAAACTAGTGCATATAAATTAAGAAGTATATATATGTAGCTTCTCTCCCGGCGAGAGCAACGGGCGCGCACGCGCGCATATATCACTGAACCAGATTCTCGAATATAAGTCCTGCTTATCAAATAGATACTTGGCAAGTCAAGTCACACAAGGCAATCATCCAGTTTGCCAACCCGTTAAAACACAGCAAATAAGTAATATACATATATACATAAATATATATAATATTGCTACTATCTACCACTGTCACAGAAATATATAGCGATATCTTATTGCTTCTGTTGCTAAATATATATGCTTGCAGAAAAGAAATGTGAATGCGTAACATATGAACAGATTAAGAATCGAATGGTATGTTTTATTTAACCAGGCGCCGAAAGATGCATTATAATCAAATTTTGCTCACGTTATTGATGAATCTGAATATACGTTGTTCATAATTAAATCTGATTCATATTTTAGATGTAGATATTATTAAACATGTAATCCTATCTCGTGTTATAAAATTTTAGCATAGTCGTTAATGTAAATCATGCTGTAAAATAATCTCTAGAATTTCTTCCACATAAGAGATGAGAAAATGCATCACATTTAGTATTTCATTTAAAGCTAAATATTTAATCTTCTTCATAATCAATGTATTCACGATGCGTTAAATTATCATCCCGAATTTTCATTATCTATTGAAATATATATTTATCGCGTTTTTAATAGCGATATTAAATAATAAATATGAATAACAGAAAGAAGGAAATAAGAGAATGTCATCAATTTTGCACAAATATAAATATTTAACGCGATAAACTGATAAATTTGGCATGTGAGACCAACTGTTATAATATTATCTAAATCTACATTATTGATGCGTTGCTATTGATCCAAGGTTTCTAAAATTCAGCGTTTTGATCAGAAGAAAAATCTATCAAGTTGATATTTTCCGAGAATAGTACTGATAGCTTCAATGATCTGGCATTAACCGACATGACCTGGGAATACCTGGGAATACATGCGCGTAATACGAGCGAATAACCGAGGCTTACATCCTGACCCAGTTGCCAACAGTCAACAGATCTCGAGATCTAGGCATCCGGGATCATGGCGTTATCCTGGTGAATCGATTGCCCGGAATATTCACCGGCCGTGGCGCGTTCGCTGTAATACCAAGCAAATCAAAGGAAAGAAGTAACAAACCATTTCGGATTGATGTCCAAACGCGAAAGACGAGACGCGCGGATTGGCGACTTCGGCGAACTGACAGCTTCGAGATTAGGGGATGAGCGATGTCGTGTCCTTGGGCGATTTTCCGGCGTCCAAGTGGTTAGTAATCACCTTGGTTAGCAAAAGTACCGGGTGTATCTTGACGAATGATCACGAGATGCTGGCTTGCGACAGTAGTTCAACCGTATTAATGGCGCGGCACGGATCACAACGCGACGTGGTGAACGCGAATGGGACGCGGTGTCGACTGAGTGACCCGGTGCCGCGCGAGACCGTTAACCGCTGGTCCGACGATGACGACGACGACGGCGCCCTACGAAGCGAGCTACGTACAGAGAGGGTGGCTGCCAAGCGACTACTATGGGGGTGTGATAGAGAAACCACGAGAGAGGGACGCTACGAGAATTCTCCCGTGGAGGGGATGGTCGGTCGGGGAGAGAGAGAAGATTATTGGCTGGGAGAAGAAGCACCGAAGGAGAGAAATAGTCCAGGGAGAGGGATGACGATGTGGAGAAGGGTAGCGTACAGTGGGGAAGGTGCGTAAAGGGGTGATAGAAGTGAGAATGCGAGTGGGAGTGGAAACATGTGTGAGCGAGGGTGAACGTCGGCCAAAGGCGGAATATAAATAATTATTGCTGTTTATGTTAATGATTTTCAGGTGCGCTTTGAAGTCCTTTTAATTAATATTTTAATTTTTTGACAGCTTAAACAGTGTTTCCATCTTTCTTCTTTTAATTATTTTAAGATTGCCCCAACATCCCTGTCTTATAAATATATGTTTTCTAGATTTTTATGTGCTTTTGAATTTTCCTAGTATAATATCGGATTGTGTAATCTTTCTATGTTTAAGATTTTTTAAAAATTTCGAAAAATATATCGTTGTATATAGACACAAAAACTTATACGCATATATCTTTTAATATCGACGCCTATGAAAAGCGAACAACCACTAAAGAAAGAGAGAGAAAAAAAGAAAATGCTCTAATGGTACATGGAGAAAGAAGATGAGAGGTAAAGCATTATACGTATAGAGAAATGAGAGGGAAAGANNGAAAGAGATAGGTAAGTTGAAATATATACTCAACCAGAATGAGATGATTATAGGGAAACGAGATGGGAATACTAATGGGAGTGAAGGTAGATTAAAAAGAAAAAAAAATGAAAGATAGGAAAAGGGGATAACATTATAAATTTGTATCCGGTGATAGTTGTGACCGCGAGCGAGACGGAATCAAAAGTACAAATGTGAGCGATAAAGATGATATATAGAATAGAAAGAAAAAGAGAGGTGAAAAATCTGTGAAATAAGTTTGAAATAAGCATGAAACTATTTTTATCGAAGAAATAATAGGAATGTCAGCAGATATAAGACAAAATGCAACAGCTAGAGAAAGATAAAGATATGTGTATTAAAAGAAAGATAAAATAAAACTATGCTTAAGGTAAATACATACTTTAGACGATTCATATTCCGCGATAAAATTCAAAATCAGAATCTATTTACAATTTTATGTGTCATATATTCTAATGTATGTATGTATGTGTATTTTGATATATATTTTGTATATATGTGTGTGTCACTTCATCGAATATTTTTTCTATATGTCTTTTCTATATTTGTATATGTATGTTATATTACGCGATACATAAAATTATACGTACAATTCTGTCTCAAATTTTATCGCAAATTATAGATGGTTTAAAGCGGGCTTTAAAGAAGAAAATGAACGAGAGACAAAAGTAACAAAACAAATCGAAATAGAAGAATTGTTGAAGGAAAAGAAACAAGCGAGATACATAGAAATATAGCTAACAATAAGCCACAAGGAGGTAGAAATTCAAAGCAAGGATAGTCAACATAGAGAGTAGAGCCCGTGGAATCAAAGGGCGGATCGAGAAAAGAGAAGGGATGAGAGAATTAAAGTGGGAGAAGACAAAGAGGAGAGCGAGACGGAAAATACACGAGAGAAAAAGACAGATTGGGAGGGAAGAAAAACGAAAGAGCTCATTGTGGAAGCAAGTCATGGCAAGAGCAGGAGTTTCACGTGCTATAGAAAGAAGATATGTGCAATAACCCCTAATGTAGATGTAAATAAAATAAGAAAGGGAAAAGATTCGGAAAAGGAGAGAAGAAGGAGAATGAATATCGAGAGAAGAAAGAGATGATAAATAGAAAGAGATATAAGCAAAGAGTAAAGTTATTAGAATTAAAGATAAAACCAAAGAATAAAGCCAAAGGGCAAGAGAGCAAGAGAGATAACGTCCTATCGAGCGAGCATTTGCCACGAGGGATGGGCGGATCCGGAGGTATTACGTGGAGAAGCGAAAGGTGGCCGATAGTTTTGTTTCTCGCGGAGACACTCGAGAAGAGTGCCCAAGGGAGAACGAATCCATAGAGGAATATAAGTACGTACGACCGAAGCGAAAAGTATCGGCAGCATGTGGATTAATCGATGGAGCACCGTGAATAAGGGTGTGGGAAATGTTTTTAATCTGTCTTCCGCCTTTTGAGATTGATGAAGCTTACAAAAAACATTGTTTTTTCTAAGCTTATTTCTTCCTATCAAAAAATGTCGTTACACGTATATTACACGAACAACGAATAAAAGAATTTTAAGAACAATGATTTATTACAGCTTTGCTTTGTCACTTAGAAATATTTTAAAAAATTTAGGAAGAGAATAAATATTTTACTTCGCGAAATTAATATTTTTCTTGATAATATAATAATTCCAATAATATAATAATTCTTATATTTTTACGTTACTATTACTGTGAAATATTTAAACAAGCTAATTATATAATAATCAAGCGAACATATAAATGGAAACAAATATAAGACAAATATTTGATCATAATAAATCTTTACCTCCTTATATGGTATATAGGGGTTTCATGGATTTTTATCGAAATATAGTATTTTTACCGAAGTTCTTGTTCCGGTAGTTATATGGTATTTTGTCATTTCATGTTGACGGTTGTAAAACAGGATCGACCTGGTATAAATTCTATTCCAATTTCACGCTATATGTGTCCTAGCAAGGTTCCATCTGTTGTTGCTTTTTATTATGCGCGGGATACAAACAGCCTGTAAAACTCGTGATTTGATTCCTAGATTTATGGCACGGCTATATACAGTAGATTGGGATCTCGATGATAATGCTTAGATAAGAAAAATCTTATTAATCTTATTGGAAATAGAGTTGGATATGTGAGGATTTGTAATATTATAATACATGTAGATATTTATTTCCATTTTGATACATCGATAATATCATCGATGTGTTAATATCTCATATTACGCTTATATAAAATACTATATATATTATATTTAAAAATATAAATATAATATATGTAAATATATATATGTAATATATTATATAAATATCTTTAAAATAATGTGTTATTGTATCAAGATCATTTTATAAATATCATGGACATTCGTAATGTTAATAAGACAACATCCAATAATTTGTTGCTGTAGAAATAAAAATATTAAATATTTTTCTATCTCATTTATATACTTTTTAATATTATTTATAATTTACATTTTCTGCAGAAACTTTCCAATTAGCGTATAAAGTTCTACGGTTTATAATTTCTGTGTACATGGTTCTTTTCAAGAATCTTGTAATTCTAATCCTGTCAAATGAAATTAGAATGTCATGCGTTTGACGAATGAAATTTATTTTTCAACGTTATAAACACAATTACGCACGCGCTGCGTGGATGTGCAATTTTCTTTGATCCAAAAAGATCTCCAGGCACTTCTAACTGTTAGATTGCCTGGCGCAAAATGAAATTATCGAACATCAAGATAAACTTATATTGTAGAGCTCCTCTATCCCTGGAGAATAGAGGACTAAGAAGACTATACCGATAAAAAGCCGCAGCCTCCTTTTCAGGTTCCCTAACACTGTACTTATCTTATATTCCTGAGATTCAACAAGGTACATAGTATGTGCGTTGAATAATACAATTATCTCTCTAATTCTCTCTCTTTCTATCTCTCTTTCATCCACTCTCCCTTATATAATCTCCATCTCTTATTAATAATAACCAGCGAACACTCGCTCAAAGATTGGAGAGAGGAGTATCCGTTGTAATTTCCAAGTTAGTTAAACGCTATATGGCTTTACCTACTACGACAACAGAGTTCCTAAAGATTAATATAGATGGGGCTTACACCAGATATTAAGTGAAACCACCCGCTGGGGGTATACGTAAGTACTATGCAAGATATGTAGATGTAAATATAAATATTCTATTTTATACAAAAGAATATATAAGATTGATTTTTGTATGATAAAATTAAATACTTCGTTTTTAAATGATTCGCTTTATGAGATAATTTATTAAAAACCAACAGAATAATCCGTGAAAGTACAAAGAATGAAAGATAATTTAGAGAGTTTCTAAGAGATATTGTTAGTAATTATAATAACAGTTTGAGTCAGTGAAATTAATTAATTACTGAAGAATAAATCGCGTCGGATCAAATTATTCGGAACGCGGAAAACATAGTTTACTAAATTAAATTTCAAGTTGCACAGTTTGATTAAGTAATTAAGTAATTAGATTAATTTATCTTAAGCTTTAACACAGTCCATCTTACATTGATAATACATTTCGTAACGCAACTTTTTATAGACCTTGACAAAAGGTATCAATATTTCTTGAAACAAGCAATTCTTTTAAATTATATTTTTAAGATCCTTATAAATTTATATAATAATATAATGTATTAATAGTAAGAACATTAATAGAATACGCAAATGCTTCCATAAACATAGCGAGATAGTATCTTAATGCAAAATAGTACTTTAATGCACAATAAATAAACTTTGTAAAAGACATGTCAGTGTCGATGATGCCAGTTTACATAGGATATGCAATTTCAAAAGATGAGTAAACTATCTCTTTACAAGTTATTAAATTATTCGACTAACAAGTGGAAGGAAATTAAAGGAGAAATTGCTAGAAGATAAACAGCAATGGCGGAAATTTGATACTATCATTATTGTCATTATAAAACAGAAATACAGGTGACGACTTTTAAAATTGTTTCTCGAAATTTTTGCGCGACATTTTCTTCGTTGATAATTCAATTTTCTATACAGCTGAAGATCAAACACAGTTTCGGGAGGAGATATTTCTATTTTGGGAGTACCTATGAACAGGCATTGATTTTGTATGACCGAGATTCTCTTATGCTTAGCGAACTTTACCAGGAGACGAAAGATTCCTACTTACAAGAGGGATTCTTTTTGAAAAAAGTTTTATTGGTTTTATAACTTCTCCCTTTGTGTTCATAAAAGAAAAATAACTTGGAATTAAGCGTGGTGTGTATGGCTTTCTTTAAATAAATCA